AAAGCAGCAGACGTTTAAAAAATATTTAAAATATACTAAAAATATATTGGTATTGTGAAAATAACGTTTTCGAATATTTTGAAAAGTTTTTTCAAGGCAATATTTTGAAATTTCTTAGATACATTTTGAACAATTCGACAAATCTTTTGCAAAATTTGTTATTGTATCAAGTAAACATATGGATGTTTTGAACTTATAAAGGAGCAAAACAAATTACTGTTTTTTTGTTTGTTTTAAAAGTAATTTGTTTGAACGTCTGCTAAATTTGTTTGTTGTTCGACATACACCAAGCTATTATTATTGCTGTTGTTTTCTGTTGCCAATTACAAACCTCGTTGATACTTTAATATTAATAATAAGCTCTTTAAAAACCACTTATTTCGCTTGTTCTGTACGTAATTTTACTTAATTCAGTTCAATTATTACAAAATATAAGTTTTGCGTTTGCATATAATTCACAGAAAATAGTACAAAATGTTTATAAAGTTTCTTCAAGGAAGTGTTTTCATAAATTGGCAACGTTTATTAATATTCAGCACAATCTCTAAGCTCAATGTAAACGTAGCAATATTGTATTTTTCTCTATAAAAATGATTAAGTTGTAATCCCAGCTACACGCGCACAAAAATTCCGACATTGACTATTCATCAGATTTAATCCCGGATATATTGATTTCTTGCAGAGAAAATATATTAAAAACTGAGATGGAAAACTCACGAGGAAATGTATCAACTTAAATTGAATATCGATGTCGAAATTACAAACTTTTACTTGACTGACCTTGATGGAACGCAGAAATTGAAAAAAAAATTATAACATTCACATGCTTATTTCTCCGGTACTATAATCATTTAAATAATATATTTCTACTAAATAATATAGATTTGCAACATGACCTCATTCAGCTATTTGTGTTATGTGAAAATGACAAAATCGTCTTCAGTCGTAGAGAAGAGCACATTACTTAACTCTGGTAATTTTATCAATTATTAAGTATTCTAATTTAAGACGATTTTACGATTATTTTAAATAATAAACTCTTATAATCAAAACATTTTGTTAATGATAATTAATTAGTAACATTCGAAAACTGATACTTCGTATTTTTTTATTGATTAACATTATTTAGATTATAATCCATTATAGTGTTAATTTACAATGCATTAATTAAACTATAAATAATTTGTAAGCTTATAAAGTAATCAATAAATGGACTTTTATTATAAGGCATACACTTCTGAAACATGCTGCATGCACGCAGTTAAAACAATGTTGCTTTTATTTTATTTATTTTTTTTATTATAAATTGTTTATTTCAATTCGAATAAAAAATAGGTAATTGATTCAACGAAGTTATAATTGTCTGTTAATTTATCTTATACATAAAAAAGTTTTAATACCAAAGGAAACAGAGCTACATAAAACTAATAAATCGATTTCTACCCCCGAGGGAACAAAAATTATATTACTTACTTCTTAAGTATTTTATGATAAAGTATATTGAATTACGGACTGAAGCGAAATGAAGATGGATCTATAGTACTTAGTAGGAGTTATAGTAGATTATAACTAAAAGTGACATGGATTTTCTAGTCAAACTTCAAGAAATACAGAAGTATAGAAATTTTCAAAAGCAGTGCCACCCACAATGTACTGTTTTGGGTTCAACTTTAGAAAATATTGCAATTCTGATAATGTTAGTGCACACGAAAAAGTAATAATTGAATCAACAGCACCGAAGACTGTTTTCTTAGCAAAAACCTAATACAACCCAATAAATTGCGATTTCACAAGTGATCACAACAATGGAATAAGATATTTTGATATTCATATAATCAAAATACAAAAAAACTAATATACATTTCATACATTTGCATATTCATATGTATACTACATATGCAGATATTTATTTTATTAAGTATTATAGGATACAGCAAATAAGTTAAGAGATGTAACAGTTAAGAGGATACTGTTATTTAGTAGAAGTATTTCATGTTACGAAAATAATATATTCTACGAATTGTGAAGACGTAATGCAAAATCACAACATGAATATTTATAAAACATTAACGGAAGAGTCTGGTCATTATCATTCGATTCATATATTCATCCAAAAACAAGATCGTCACCGGATTCCATAAACAAATATATTATGCATTGGTGGTAGAGGTTTTTGACGTTCTTTTTTTTGTGAAAAACCAGTTTTCAGGTCTTTCTTTCAGTCTGGCGGCTTCTTTTTTTCGCCCTGACCCCAATATTACATTGCGACACAATAAGTCCAGTTTCGCAATCACCCTTCGTCGTCCGAAAGATGGAAAGAGATAGGCGAAGAGCCGTCGGAATCCTCGACCATAGAAGAATAAGAGGGGTCGTCATCGTGTCCGCGCAATTCTCGCATCTCAGTCAAATGACTGAAATACACACCTCGTTTAACAATGCTGAGAGAATACAGTATTATTATTGCAGGAACGCGAAATTCAGTAACACTCAATAAAGCACATTTCGTGTGAATGTACGAAATTAAACAGCGATTTTATCGCTACAGCGAACATTGTGTAACGAGTATTTACTACAATTGGATTACGTCGCCATAATATTCGTTAATTCAGGTTGAATAAAACAATTCACTTAACCAAGTTGTATGAAATTCAATTGACAATATATAGAATTACTGAATACATCCAAAATACATTCAGAAGAATTATAAACAATAAATCCAAATCAAATCTGAATATTTATAAAATTACAATATTAATTAAGATTTTCTTTAAAAATGTATGCAATAGTGATGTAATTACATATTTTAAAATATACATATTAGTACAAATACGCTATAATACAAAAGTTCTTGTATCAATCACACAAAATGACTATAGATTATATATGTAAGTGGTCGTAAATTAAATACTTTGTGATATATTATTCAATTTTTAACTCAACATCATGACCTATAGAATGTCTCATTGAGTTTACTGCAACGTGTTGCCTAGTACATAATAACGATAAAAACGCGTAAACCGTGCAACACCAATAAAATCTATATCTAAGTAACTTATGATTCACCAAACATTCAAATAAAACAAAATATTCATTATGACCAACTTATATTTCCTTAAAACCTATATAAATTTTAATAAAATAAGTGAAAGTTAAGAAGCGTATATCATAAATAGTTCAGGTCAAATTGAAGTCCTATAAGAAAAAATTGAAGAGACTGAGAATTAGGAGAGAAAATTCCAAAATAAATAGCTCTACATATACATACTGTCTAGTAGAATAACGTACAATTGTTAAACTTTTAATACAATTTTCTACAGAAATCTGAAAGACCACATAATTGAGCAATATTTTTGTCGAAAATTACTCCCATATTGTCTCACTCACAATGATACAAAAGCACAAACTTCCTACTGTCCCCAATAATTTTAACGAAAATGAGGTCACTGAAATCAATATCTCAAACGAACATTTTGTAAGTTTGAGAAACACTGCCTCCAAGTAACACATTCACTCTATTCTCACAAATACAACAGCCATTATTCAAATACAACTAGCAGTTTTTCAATTTAAAAATAGGATTCAATAATACAAATGTAATATTAATGATTCAAAAGTCCAACTGAGTAGAAAATCAAGTGTAAAGTACAACATTTAAAAACATTGTGTGAAAATCAGTAAGCACTCATTTCAGAAAATACAGAAGGAAAGTTATGATAAGTATAAATAGATTATAATTACGTTTATTTTTTATTTTCATAATAATTTTATAAAATGAATTAAATAATTGTAGTAAGTACTAATAATATAGAAAATTTCAAATCAATTCAAAATGCGTTATAGTAAATAATGAATAATTTGTTTAATTATTATATATAAAAATGTATAATTGATATTTTAGTAAATCTAAAATATAAAAAACTGAAAATTACTTTCACAATTATTTATTCTATTTTAATTCCTTTAGTTTTCATAGATTAATTAAATAACGTAGTGAATATTTAATAAATTATATATGCATTTTGAAGATTAAGGAAATTGTATTTGACTGAAAAAGTTATTATTACATAAATATCGTAGCAATGATACGTGTCGTTTCCTGTGAGTAATTCATGGAATATTTATATATCTGGATTTCTGTGAAACGAGCAATAATTGCTAGGAGCATAAAACGCACACTCGTAAAGTGGCGCTTCGATTTTTACATTTCTTTTTCGTTCCTCTCAGTTACAATCTCCACCCCATTTCCATTTTATTCAAATTTTTATAGATTACATGGATGTAATGAAATTAAGTTACACTCAAAAGGCCTCGCTCTGAATCTGCCTGATATTATGTATCTCGGAGTGCGTGTGAGAGTGTGCATGTATGCAATCGTCACATGTTCGTTGCATAAACATTAAGTATTATGTAGAAGCATTTTATATGCGTCTATTAAAAAAAAAACGTAATTGGATTCGGAATTATTTCTAACTGATAATACTCTTAAATTACTTTTATCTAACGAGAGATTGCGCAGTTCAGTAATCTCCATATCGTAATTGCAAGAAGAAGCAAAAATCATGATGACATCAATTGGCATCAATTCTTTGAATTTTGATTACCTGCAATGTATAGATATGAAGAAATCTTGTTAAAGTTAATAGTTTCAAAATGTTATGATTGTACAAAATCTAATGATATCTAGAAGTTTTACATCTCTTGATGTTTAATTGAATTACTATAGCAAATTAATTCAATAATATATATAGACAACAACTGTAATGTGTTTGCTCTGATAGGAGTGCTATCTTTGGGATGAGAATGCCAATATTTGTATTTGGGCGCGCGTAAAGGAATCCACCTGTTTCCAAGTGAGAGAGTAGAACAGGTAGTGTGGGATGCGCCGTTGATTACAGCGAGAGAGCAACACGTTGGGGGTCGCTTCTAATTTCAGATGCTTTGTTTACAGCGAAACCTAAACACTTTCATGAAATATATATAAATGTATACTAGGAACTCACAGTCTAAATGCTTGTTCTTGGGGCCAATCATCTCCTCGGTGGTAGCCTTGCAAACGGACTTGGCTAATCCCTGACCGGCTATGCTATGTCGGGCTGCTAAAAGCCTATCGTTTATAGTCTGTCCTGCCAATCTTCCAGCCATTTTTGAGCACTCGTCGACTATTACTTCCTGGGTACACTAATTTCCTCTCCTCCGTTCACACCCAACGACACGTCAACCAGGATCACTTCAAATTTTCTAGACTCGACGATGTTCTCTTATTTTTTTTCGTTGCTATCGGTACAACAAAACTACTTTGAAAAAAGCACCAAAAATTCAACTCCCCTGCCGATGCTCCACGACCACTGACAGATTTCTGACTGACAAATTCCTTGCCTTGCGTTCACAATTCCATCGCCCCTCTCACTTGCGTCAGACACATCCACCTATTGCCTTACACAACGAAGTTAGTCCCAAACCACATTCGAATTATTTGAAATCTTTAAATATATTAATTAATACTAATATTCGCTGTTACTTGTCTTAGATACTATACCTCTTTTAAATAATATATCATGTTAAACAACAACATCAACCTCACCAGATGAAACATTCCAATAGGATTCTTCTTATCCAATAACATATCGAATGATCATACTAGAAACTAGAAATACATTTGTTTACTTTGTTCATAATGTAACATTTTTATCTTAAGCATTTAGTAAATAAATATATTGAATTTAAATGAAAAATGACAATAAAGAAAGTCGTCTCTAGTGATCTACTCATTATGGACAAAATGGGTTCCACTCCTGTCACTTTTGAGTGAAAATTCAAAATATCACCGACCATTTGATCATTCCTCTCTAAATTCAAAGTTGTAGGGGATAGCCGCCCAGAAATGGCTACTAAATTGAAATTGTACATTGGCCGAAAGGTAAGTGTTTCAATAAATATCTTGAAAATAATTGACATAACCTAAAAAGATCTTATTTAAAATTGTATTGTATGCAACATGATGTACACCACCTACGTAATTTGATAGTTTTACAAATGAAATTATGTTAAAATTATGTATACTTAACATTCTGTAATTTTATTAATGTAACTTATAAGATTTTCAATATATTCTAATTTGAAAATTCAATCCTATATGAAAATTATAATACAGTGGAACCTCGCTTAACGAGTTTAATCCGTTCCAAAATTTCCTCATAGAATGAAACGTATTCAAAAATATACATAATATCTGTACACAAGTTATAAAAATGATCGTCACTCGTTATGCGAAACGTTGCTCGTTAAGCGAGTCATTTTTTTTTTAAATTCATTTTGCTCGTTAAGCGAAATGCTCGTTATGCGAGGTAGGCTAGGTTCCAATGTACTTAAATAATTAAAATTGTAAAATAAATTCCGCCCGGTGAAATATTTTTTAAATTAGCGCATTTTTATTTAGTATCATATAATAATTCTAACAAATATAGCAGTTGTATTTTTAGATAGAATATTTTAATATTCTTTCATAAATATTCACAGTTGAAAAAGATAATTTCGTTATAAATATTTATTAAATTTTAAATGAATAAATCATTTACTAATACATCAGCAATTTCAAACTCAATGGTTCTAAATTGAAGACAAATGAAAAATTCTTAAAGTTAAAATTATATTGTTTTTAGTTAGTTGAATTACATCTAGTTACGAAATATTATTATTCAATTTTTTTCTTATATAAAAGTATATTTATTATAATATTCTTACCTTCTTAATATACTTCAACATTTTTAAATCGTAATAGATTAAATATACAATTAAGTATTATTTAAAAATAACGGATTTACTAATCTCAATATTCATAATATTGTTGGCATTCATAATTATCCATATCAAGATTTGAATACGAAAAAAAAGCGAACAAATAGTTTGTATTCAAAGTATTGTATTGTTTTAAAATTAAATAAATATATAAGAAGTTTTTATTAATATTTATTAAATTTGTTACATACTAGTATATTTCCATTACAAATAAGCATTTATTTTTCAAATGTTAGGTGCTGGATAGCTTCCACAAGACGCCATCAGTGACGGCAATGCAATTAAAATCATTGCTGCAAGTAGAACCGTCAAAAGATGAAAATGCCCCAATAGAATTGAGCATGAGTTTATCCACCATAGAAAATCGTTTCGGTATAGCAAATGTAAACAAAATCCTGAAAATACAGCCGGACGACATAATACAGAACATCCACTCGATAAAAGACCGTTCAAATAGTAGAATATGTTTCCAAGTGAAGAATGATATATTCATGAAGGAAATTGTCGAGCATGCTTATGAACCTGACCTAAACAACGACAAGAAAAAGATCGTTACAGAGTTCAGTTCGCCGAACGTGGCAAAACCTTTCCACGTTGGTCATTTGCGATCGACAATAATTGGCAATTTCATTTCAAATCTGCACGCGTTCATGAATAATACCGTTGTAAGGATCAATTATTTAGGTGATTGGGGTACGCAATTCGGCTTGATTAAAGTTGGTGTTGATGATTTGAAGCATTCGAACGAAGATATCAAGAACGATCCTTTGAATCTTCTGTATAGGAGTTATGTGCATGCAAACGCTTTGGCCAAGAATGATCCAACGATCCTGGAAAAAGCTAAATTGGAATTTAGTAAATTAGAAAGTGGATCACAAGTGGAAATAGATAATTGGAAAACGTACATGGGATACACTATCGATGAATTGAAGTCTACTTATAACAGATTAGGAGTGAAATTTGATGTCTATAACTACGAATCTATGTACGGTTCTAAAGAAGTTCAGAACGTACTGGATGTGCTGCACAAAAGAAAGATTCTACATAAAGAGGCAGATGGAAAGGAAGTGGCTAAAGTTAACGATAGATCGGTTTCAGTACTTAAAAGCGATGGGTCCACATTGTACTTGACCAGAGATATAGCGGCTGCTATTGATAGATTCAAAAAATACGAATTCGATCAAATGTATTACATAGTGGATAACGGCCAAAGTGATCACTTTAATGCGCTGACAAGTATTTTATATCAAATGGATCTACCATGGGTTCATAGACTTAAGCATATTAAATTCGGTAGAATTCGAGGTATGAGCACAAGAAAAGGTAACGTTGTGTTCTTAAAAGATATCTTAGATGAAACCAGAGATTTAATGGTGCAAAGGCAAATCACTTCTCCAAGTAAGGAATTTAAATTATTCTTTATTAATTATTCTATAATGTACACTTTATTCCCAGCTACCAAAGTCCCGGTTTCAGACAAACACGTTTCGGATATTTTAGGAATTTCTTGTGTTATAATCAACGATCTGAAACAAAGGAGGCAGCGGGACTACGAGTTTTCTTGGGATAGAGCTTTGCAGGTAATATAATAGTCATGTGTTATAAACTTATGTAAGGGTAATCTATAGGTTCAAGGAGATAGTGGTATTAAACTACAATACACACATTGTCGGTTATGGAATTTGGAAAAGAACAGTGGTGTAGTAGCTTCGAGTATATGCTTACCTGAGCTTCTAATCGAACCTGAACTTGTATTGTTGATCCGGGAGTTGTCCAGATTTCAAGATGTCTTGCACCGAGCTGAAGAACAATTAGAAGCTTGTATCTTGGTGTCCTACCTTTTTCAGCTATGGTATTAACTAATTGACATCAATAACTCACAATATTACTTACCGCATTTATTTTTAGTAATCACATTAGCAAAGCGTTAAAGGTTGTGAGAGTTAAAGATCAGGACCTGACGTTAGCGTCGCAAAGACTTTTCGTATTTAACAGCGCCAGACACGTGCTGGGTCAAGGAATGACCATTTTGGGACTCCATCCTCTCAAGGAGATGTAAATGATTTCTAGTCGCATTAAATTTATTTAGTACAAATACAAAAAAACAAATACATCCTAACGTTTCTTCCAAGTGAACTTCTTCCTGGCGCCGGCTTGACCAGGCTTCTTCCTTTCTCGTATACGATAATCGCGTGTTAATAGACCAGCTGCAAAATTACACAATTACCTTCAATTGATTTGTTCGAGGTGCCGTTTCACATACCTATTCTCATTTTTTCTACAATTTCTTGGTCCACGAAACTCCTGAGACTCCATGCTATTCCCCATCGGATAGCGCCGGCCTGTCCAGCTGGACCTCCTCCCTCTACGTTAGCCACAACATCCACATTTTTGTGCAAGTTAGTAAAAATCAGTGGGAACAAAAGCTGTAATCAGATCATCGTTATATTAATTTAAGTAAATATCAATCGAGTAACCAAATATTATTGACAATTAAATATATTGTGCATTTATAAAGAAAATAAATATTTTTCAATTATATAATACTTACTTAATTAAGTTATAGCTTGAAAAATACGTACAATAACCTAGTTGTTCATAATATATATTATTTAAAATAACAATATTTATTGTCAACCAAAACAAAATTATTACATAAGATCAGAAAATATCTATAATCTATAGACCATATTTTTAATAATAGTCAATAATAAACATATCAATGTTTCAAATTTAGGAGACAGTCCAACAGTTTTTAAATGAAAATCGATTACAGATACTTTAAACGTTAATTATGTAATATCACTTTTTATATAATATTGATATTAACAACTAAAATATAACAAAAAAGAGAATATACAATACATTATTTTTTATTAAATTACTCTTACTTTTCTACACGAAAGTACATTATTAAAAAATAGAAATAGTTGTATTAATTAAAATTAAAACTATCCAAATTACTATATGCTATGCACTGTGGAAACTAACAATAAATAATTATATGATGAAGGTCTCTATTATACAGCAGAGCGACCGTCATTTCGCGCACGCAATCGTGAAAAACTACAAAGGATCAGTGGAAATGTTGTTTACCGAGGCTTTATTCGTAAAATGTTAAGCTCACACTAAAGCAATAACAATAAAAAGTAGACGAGACGATTATCAAATTGTGCACAATGAACGGCCAAACAATTACTCTTCTCATAATTACTTGTAAACAACAAAACGTGAAAAGATATTTTAACCATAAATATATTATCTACGTTACTAATATCACAATTTAGAAATTTTTAGTTCGCATAACACACGAGGAGAACTCTATTTCTATAGTTTAGGCATTTACGATGGAAATTCGTACCATATTATAAATCGATTCAGCAATTCGAACAATTGACATTCTTCGGTGCCAACAGGATAGTCAGTTGCTCCATGATTTGATTATTGTTCAGCAGAGCGTCTTTCAGCTCGCGCACTTCGCTGCTCAGATGTTCTATTTGTTCACTGCTCTTTTCTACATTACTCTGGAGCAGCGAAAGACTGGTTGCGTAATCCGCCATTGTGTCATTACCTTGGTCGATGTTATTGTTGATCCACTTGTGACCTGTATAGTTGGACACCTGTGTGCCCTGAGACGAAATTGTATTACCATAATTCTTTCTCTGCTTTGCAATCTCATGAGCAGCTTTTAGTATATCGCGAGGTAATCGCTTCTCTCTGGGATTTAACGGCTTCACATTTAATACTACTCTGTAAGCTTTAGGAGAAACTAGTGCAGTCCAATGCAGTAAATTTAACAGATATCTCGGCAAATATCCGTTAAATAGCGCCAATTCCATGTAGGAGATTAACTTAGTTTGGCGTACCAATTTCGATAATCCTGCAGTTTTCTGGAGGCCTTGTATGTCATGAACTGCTATGCCAACCAACAGATTCATTAGAATTACTGTGACGAATAGAAGGAAAAGAACGAAAGTTACTTGAGCACTTACTTCCAGTAAGAATGGTGGATCCTCTGGGTCGTCATCGACGAGCAGATCCAAACTCAATTCACCCGTCATCATCACCAAAACCGTTATTAAACCTATGAACGGATTGGCGAACGTAGACGAGTCGGGAAATATAACGCAAAAACTTATAGTGAAACCTACCAATAAGCAAGAATACGCGAGCAGAAGTTTGGCAAATTCTCCTTGGACTCTGGTGTACATAGCTACGTACGATCCAAAAATAGGCAATTGACCTATCATTAACATCAGATTTGTCCATCCGAATAAAACAGCAAAAGCTCCAACGTGATTCTGCCAAGTGTAGGTTCTTCCTGTGTAAATGAACGAAATTATGAAAACACTGGCTATTACGGACCATTCGATTATGTTTTCAGGATGCGAGAGATATTGCTTGACTGTTGGATATCCTGCAATACCGTATACTTTTCGGAGTATTTCGCATCCGGTGATTCCAACGAGGACAAACCATTGCATTTCTATTACAAAGGGATTGTTCCTCAGCATGTGCCCCATCATCGATTTCTTCTCGCACAACTCAATAACATTCTGAGGTTGGCTCTCGTTCATGTTCTTTCCATGGTTATAGCAGTTATGAGCTAAAGCGGTCAACACGTACAGTGATAGGCTTAGTACAAAAATCAAGCAAAAAAGCATACGGGCAATATAATATTTGCGGATCTTCTCCCATTTCAGGTATAGAAAAGCGGAGCACAGTGGATGCAGTAGGATTTCCTTTTGACCTTCGTCGACAAATGTATTGAGAACACTAATTTCGCGAGGATGGCAATGCTGCAATATGCTTCTGAAATCCAAACGTAATTCCACCTCTCGATTTGACGATTCCGGATGGTGGTGAAGTGTTATTGCTGCGTCGAGCTTTTGAGTAATCATGGCCAAGGAGGCCGGAGTTTTCCTTGTAATAATCCCTAAGGCTGTCATCCCAAATTTAGATTTGGCAGTAACATCGGCCCCGTTGTAAATTAATACCTCGACGCATTGCGAAAGTTCGTTTAAAGCTGCGATGTGCAGCGGTGTGTATCCGTATTGGTCCTTACAATTAACATCCGCCCCCCAGTTAATTAGGATTTCTATGATATCGTATGATCTCGCAGCTTTGCCAACGGCTGCATGAAGGGCTGTCCTCTGGTCCAAGTCGGGGATGTTAGGGTTGCAATTACCTTTCCTCAGGAGCAATTCGACGCAATCCAGTGATTGTGCCCTGGCTGCAAAATGCAGTGCTGACTGCCCTCTGTAATTACGGACATTTGCATCGCAACCTTTATCTAGTAGATGCTCGATGCATCCTACGTATCCGCCTTCCGCAGCCAAATGAAGGGCTGTGAGGTCTTTATCTCTTGTTTTCCCATTCGGGTTAGACCCTTTAGCTTCTAGCATAATCTTCAAGCACTGCGGGTGTCCTAGATCGGCGGCTAAATGTATCGGGGACATTCCGGCAAATTCAACTTGGCCTACATCCGCTCCTTGTGCAGTGAACAATCGCACACAGGCAATTGCATTTGCTCTAACAGCGCAATGTAATACGCTCTCGTGACAATCGAGTGGATATGCCGTTAATGCATTCACTTTAGCACCACTACTTAATAATATCATAGCCGTCTCCGGGCTGTCGCCGAAAGCAGAGCAATGCAAAGGCGTGTAACACTTGTATGTTGCATTCACATCGCAACCTTGCTGTATCAAAAACTGGGTTCCTGCCAAGCAGCCACTAAAAGCTGCCAGATGTAGAGCACTCAACCCTTGGTTTGGCTCGAAGTACTGCATCTGAGCACTCAGCTTTAGTAATCCATCTAATAAATCCCAACGCTTCATGAAGGCTGCCCATAAAAACGAAATATTTACTTCGACTTTCGAAGCTCCAGTGAAAAATGTGTCTAAATTATCTTGCTGCACTTTCTTACTCTCAATGTCATCCAAAAGCTGATGTCTACCTGATGAACTCTTCATATGTTCCAGTAGGTTCATTTTAATCGTGTCATGGCATATTTGCACTGTCAACTCATGATTCGTCGAGAATTCTTCGAAGCTCTCGTAAATATTAGGCGTATGATCAGCCGGAGGGGAAGGTCCACATTCCATGTATTCAAACTCGTCGGAAGGAAAGTCTTCTTCCAAAACCGCCGCAGGTTCACCACGAGTCCACTTCCACTTCCTGAGAATCATACCTGTGGGGGTCCTGTAGAGCGGATAGCTCTCCACTTCAGCATTGACACTGACTGACCTGTCCAGCTTCAACGAATTTGTGGATTCTTGAAATCCCGAGTTGTCCATTGTAACTGTAGCCGAATTGTCTTCGGAGGCGGAAACCAGTTATGGCACCTACGGAAACGAACATTCATCGTGTCCAAATTTATAAAAACTTGCACTTCAAAAATGAATTGAGATCCTACAATTGGCGAGCGTGGGGTGGTTAAAATTACTTAATTAAGAGTCGAGAGTATCCCAACTTTACGTAATCCGTCCCAATTTCAGTTAATTTCAATGTCGCGCCGCATAAATATATAAGAGGCCAACATGGAAAAGACAATTAAATGCCGTCAATGAAAACTCGACCATGCGAAACCGAATAGAAAACAAATGAAAAAATAGACAAAACATTACATAAATACGTTCGATTTTGACTTTGGCCACCAAACAATGGTTGTTGCGAGCACAAAGTGATGCATTTGCAACCGTTGCGTCAGATGCAGGTTCGCAAATTGGACGCAATTGCCGAAGAAATTCATCGCCCAAACCAATTTTGATAATTTCAGGATAATTAGAAGAGAATAACTTCCTCTCTTAATCGCGCTAAATTCCTTAAATCGTTTTTGGAAACTCCCATTTAAAAAAAAATCAATTAGCACGTCGAATGGCTTTATAATATAATTCAACAAATATTTATTCTTCTTTTATGTTTTCAACTAAAATACACATTTTAATGTTTAACACAAATTACTAAATTTGCTTTATAGATGAGACAACCACGTACAATTGAACTTTTGTCATGCTCACTTCTTTAATTATGTAAGGTTATAACCCCGGATATTTTGTGAAGGACGGAAATGTGTTTTAAGGTCAAGAATTCTTAGAAAAATGCGAAAACATCTTCCAATAATTAATTAATTAACATGAGACCTTGGTAATATTAAAAAAATCAGTAATTAATTGGGGGCCCTGGGCTAAGATCAGTGGCGTATAAAGGCATGGTGATCAATTCTTAAACCAAGAAATTCAAAACAATCAATTATATGAATCATATACAAAAACATCTTCATAAAAGTTAAACCTTGATGATATTGCAGAGGTAATTACAGTTAAGTAAACATAATTATCAACACATAAATTTCAATTCAAACACAGTATCTTCTATAATTTTGAGATTATATTAGATTTATGTACAGCAATTTAGCAGGTAAATATGAGAAAAATAAATAATTTTAAAAGGGGAAACAAACAACAATTCCACGTGACCTTACAAGAGAAAATTCCATTGATGTGAGTAATTAGATTCGAGTCTAGTTTGAATAATAAAGGAGATTTTCACATTAATTTCCCGTGAATTGAATCACACCGAAAACTGTTGTTATTATTAAATAAACAGGTCTTATTGACCTTCTCCGATAAATTTAAACGCTATAATTCCTGCTGGAATTAAGTCGCATATGAAGAATAATAGCAAGGTTAATAATTTCTTTGTATTCCTCTTAAATAAAATGAAACACATTCGGAACTCGCCAATTGTTAAACGCTCAATTCATTAATGACGGAAAATCAAGATGCAAAAAAGTGCGAGAATTCGCGGTTCTTACCTGCTTCTTGTTCACAAACCGCATACAAACAAATTATAAAATCCGGATACCATGAAAGAGTTGTAATTACTTTAATAATTGTTTTTGTTCTTGTAGTGGAGCGCGCGCCCTCAGCACTGAGACACTGTCTTATTAAGTATTGGCGGTAACCGGTAAACCATTACTCTACGGTTTTTTTTTTATACCAATACATCAAGTTCGTGAGAGATGTAAATGGCTATCTCTACTGCGAATAAAGTAAATTGTTAAATGACTGTAGTCTGTATCTATTCAATCGGCGAAGAGTGGGGACCAAGATTCTTTAAATACACGTGAGTTCGGGATGATAAAACTGTTTGTCATTTTATATTGAGGTGTTAAGCCAAAGAGGATTAACAAAGTAAGGACTGGTTTCGACATTACGAACAGCATGTTTCCACATTTTTAAATCAAGAGCATATCTCAATTTCTGGGAATCACTGCGAATCGACACGATTCAACATTCGCATTGATAAGGTAAAACACAAAACAGAAACAACGTGTCAAAACAGAACAGTGAAGAAACAGATCAATTGAAAAATAGCATTTTTATATTGTAGTATCACTTTGCTCCAACCGTAGCTTCAGCCAAACGTAGTTTTTCTGGATTAATTACAAATACCTCCGAACTATAAGCAAACAAGTTTTAAATAGTTGGCTATTTTGCCAATCGAAAGCAAATTCCGTAAATGTTTTGATGATTTTGCAACAAAAAATTAACTAAATTTATTATACTCGTACATACAAAGGGCTATTAACCACTGTCCTTATTAACCACAGCCCTAATAAATAATATAATTAGAAGTATTTTTTGGGTCCGAACAATTTTTGAAGCCGACCTCGCAAGGCCGACCCTGGGAATAATGATTGTTTTTACTAACACATATTTGATTATCTCTTGAAATCCATTAATTTCATGTAAACATGTGTATAAAATGTCAATAAGAACTATGGATTACATCATAATTACAATATGCAAAACTCGTCAAGTATTGGATAAAGTACGCATATTTACAATCAAATGGAAATAGTTTTATTTGATCTATTACATTAAACACCGGATTACCATTTTTATTTAAATATCAAAAAGATTTTAAAAACATTCTATTGACAAACTATTAAGAAATACGGTTTTTCCACCTATTTTACATACTTGTCTTCAATGATTAATCTGATTTATGTTTTACCAAAGATAATAATATTAATGTAAATATTCAAATATTTTTATTTTCAGATAATTTTCTTCACTTTAAGAATTTTTTTAATTGCAATATTTTGCTTATGTTTTTGAAGAGTTTGAAGAAACTCTAAAAAATATTATAAAACTCAAAATTCACATAAAATGCAAGAGAAGATATTGCAACTAACACTAATATTCGTTATTTTAATAATTTAAAAATATTAAAATCTGTCACAAATTTTAATTCCTACAAAAAGATTTAACAAATGTTCAAATCACAAGATTCTAAAATAAATATAGAGAACACTATTTTTTAATAATATAGTTAACTAACTATTTCTTCTTTAAAAGAATATAGCACTGAAAGTATATAATTTAATGGTATACGCATTATAAAAATACTTTAATGTTTTAAATTTAGATTTTTTGTTTTGGTGACCAACAATTATTGTTACTTTAAATATCTAATAAAAAAAAATCACTCACCTGTTCGCGACAATGGATATCATCAAAATAATTGATGCCTTCTCCATTGATTGTAATTTTCCCTGTACCTGGACTGCTAACTGTGACATCTGCTCTGGCGCGTTTCCTTAAGCATTCTAAAACAAAGGAAATGATATGTAAAAAACATCTTTATTGTATAGTTTGAAATAAAACATACCATAAGTTGTAATAAAGGCTTTGCCATCTTTATCATACTGAAGTTCAGGCACATCATGAGTTTTAGTTTGCATCATCAAGGGTCTACTATACTCCATAATGAAATCTTTCACTTTATAAGAGTAAGGTAATTTGGTGAGTCTCTCCATAGCATCTTTGAAATTATTGTATTCTTTATCATTAATTCCTTCTACACACTGCTTCTCCAAAGCATCTTTATCTAACCATTGGTAACCACTCATTTCCCTAAAAGATCATAAAATAAATCCACAAATAAGGATATGATTAATATAAACTTACAAAACTAAATTAGGATCCCTCTGGATGCTCTTCCTATTCATAGCATCCTCATATCTATTGCATTCATTCACTCTTTCAACAATATCCTACAAAATTTAAAAAAAAATAAAATCACAAATATTATTTCTTACACAACTCTTACATATAACAGCTTATAGAAATTAGGTTTTCCTGTGTAAAAGAGGAAATGGTGTGGTCTGCCCATAAGATCAAACTCAGCTGCTTTCCTCTGTGGAAATACTTCCTCTGGGGGCTTCATCAAAGGTCTGGCTTTCTTTTCAAATAAGCCTGAAGGAAACAAATAAGAAATGGCATTCTACAAACACAAATTCATTAACCAGAATACATAAATAAATTGTATCATTACATCAACATCTTCCTGTGTGAATGTTTCAGGATTTTCCCCCATCATGTTGGCCAAATGCCTTTTTCCAATTTGAAACTCCAAATTCTTCTGTGCCATAAATTCATCATGTTCCTTGGCCCTCTCAAGATATGCTTTCATGGCCTTACTGACAACCTTCTTATTAGCATCTTCAATTGGTGCAGACGTACATAGTGGCAATTTTGACTAAAAAAGAAAATTATTTTGAAAATCTTGGAATAATTATAATTTAAGTAATTGAGGTTAATATCTTATAGGTTATAAACTTGAAACTCTAGAATACGAGTAGCCACTTACCACCAATTGTGTACATGCTGCATTATTGGATAATTGCAGTAATCTGGCATTGAATTTTCGTAACATTTTGATTTTATTCACAATTTACAACAAATATCACAAATCCATTTCTCTTGTTACAAAGTTTGCATAACTATCAAAAGTGGAAACATGCAGCGCCAACATATTAGAACTTCATACCAATCAAATGTATATTTAGTTGCCTACAATACATTTTCTTATAGGAAATTCCTTAATTCAAATATACTCGTATTTGTACCATAGGGCATATCCATATTACTGTTAATGATGATGATTATACTTGAAATTTCTTCTTAAGAAATGTACTTTACATAATTTCTATGTTATATTTGTAATTTGTAAATAGTATACTTTGGTTTTAATAAAATCATAAGTAACGTTAATACAATACAACTTATTTTAATTTATCTTGAAACATATATATTTTCTATCAACAAAAAAAAAAATTATTGATATGTATTAATACATATTGTATTTTATTTCTTGCAATATATGTTTACAGTTGTATAACCTCAATTTAAAGATAACGTGAGGTTATGGTTTACAAATCAAAATGCAACTCTTAAGATACATAAAATTTCGTTCATACTCTTCCAAAGTAAACAAAAACAAATATTCCAATACAGTGCTATTGCCACAGACAAGTTTTCCACTTAGATTAGAACATCAAAAGTTAATTGAAAGAGATTCAAAGCTAAATGTAAGATATAATTCAAATTATTTGTTATAATTTTTAATCATATTTTGCAGGAATTAAATAAATCTATCTATGCTTGGCAAAGAGACAATTTGCCAGGACCTGATTTTGTTTTGCATGATGGACCTCCATATGCAAATGGTGTTCCACACATGGGACATGCTATTAATAAGGTGTATACTTTGATATTAATTTGTCTTTAATATTAATTTAACTAATATTTAGATCTTGAAAGATATAATTGTGAGAAGCAAGATCTTGTCTGGACAAAGGGCTCATTATGTGCATGGATGGGATTGCCATGGGTTGCCCATTGAATTGAAAGCAGTGACCAATACAAAAGGGGATTTGACTCCTATTCAAATTAGACATAGAGGTAAAGTTATTATAAACACATTGTTTTAATTATATTTTATATAATTAATTTTCCAGCAAGAAACTTTGCTCAACAGACTATTGAGAAGCAGAAGAAAGCTTTTATTAGTTGGGGTGTTATTGGTGATTATGAAAATGCTTACAAGACATTCAACAAAGATTATATTCAAAATCAATTGCAACAATTCTATACATTGTATGAGAAGAATTTAATTTACCGCGATTTCAAACCGGTTTATTGGTCTCCTTCTTCTGGGTAATTTGATAAAATTAATAATTTGTTTAAATCTTATAGTTCATATTTTTTTTATTTTTAGGACAGCATTAGCTGAATCGGAATTAGAGTATAAGGCAGATCATAGAAGTACTGCGGCCACAGTTGCCTTTGAGACAGTAAAATTACCAAATCAACTAAGTCATCATAAAAAGTATTATGATTATTTCAATCAAGTATTGTAATTTGAAATTCTGAATTTTAGTGTATCTATATTAATATGGACAACAACTCCATGGACTTTGCCTAGCAATCAAACTGTATGTTTCAACAAAGAAATATCATACAGCTTGATACAGGACAAATCAGGATCTAGCAATAAGTTCATAATATCTACTAATTTAGTTCAGGCTCATTCCAAATTGGTTAACAAAGAGTTTACTATTTTGGATACCTTTTCAGGAGACCTATTAGAAAATGTTACGTACAAACAACCAATTTACGATAATGAACTGCCTTTGGTAGAGTCTAATCATGCTACAGATTCTAAGGGGACAGGTCTTGTTCACTGTGCTCCAGCTCATGGACCTGAAGACTTTTTAGTCGCATTAAAATATAATATTAATATTGTATGTATTTTTAGTAGAAAAAAAAAATCAATATTACAAATTATTATTTTTTTAGAAAAATATGGTGGATGAAACGGGCTCGTACACTTCAGAAGCTGGCCCAACTCTCGAAGGTTTACCAGTACTAACTGGGGGCAGTGAGAAAGTTTTGAAAATAATTAAAGATAAAGTTGTTCATATTGAAGATTTTGTTCATAGTTATCCTTATGATTGGAGAACAAAGCAACCTGTTATATTAAGAGCTTGCAAGCAATGGTTTATTGATACAAACGCTATTAAAGATAGAGCAATTGTAAGACTATTTTTATTATGCATAGCTTGGTAAATCTGAAATTGTATTCATTTGCAGGAATTATTGAAAGATGTACAGGTTATTCCGAAAATGAATGGAGAAATGTATAAAACAACATTAACAAAGCAACTGAAGAAAAGGCCCTATTGGTGTATTTCAAGGCAACGTATTTGGGGAACACCAATACCGGTATTCTATGAAAAATCTTCAGGAAAACCAATTGTAAACAAGTAATTAATTAATAATGTTTTTTTTGTGAAGCGAAATCAAAGTTTATTTTGTTTCAAGAAAAATAATTGATCATCTAGTCAATATGATTGAAAGTAATCAAGGTGTAGATTTCTGGTGGCAATTGCCCATAGAAGAATTGCTACCGCAAAATATTCTCGATGAACTTAAACTGTCTATAGATGAAATCGAAAAAGGACAGGTAGAAATGATTTAAATATTTCTTTTTTTATTTATAATCACAAATTGTATTAGGACATTTTAGATATTTGGTTTGATAGTGGCGTCTCGTGGTCCAAAGTGCTTGAGGGTGAAAAAGTCGCGGATATTTATTTGGAAGGTCTCGATCAATTTAATGGATGGTTTCAATCCTCGCTGATGACCTCTGTAGCCATTCGTGATAAAGCACCGTACAAGAGTCTTTACGTCCATGGTTTTGCTTTGGATGAGAATGGTTTGAAAATGTCAAAATCTCTGGGAAACGTTATTGATCCACAGGAAATTCTGCAAGGTGGAAATAAACAAAAACCATACGGTGTAGATACTTTACGTTGGTGGGTTGCTTGCCACGCCAATCAAGATTGCATGGCTTACATCAGCAAGAACGTTTTACAGGCTAGCGCCGAAGAGGTTCAAAAGGTCAGAAGCACATTGAGATTTGCTGTAGGTGCTTTAACGGATTATTCCGAGGACGTTCTGGATAACAGCAAATTGCATTTAATTGACAGGTATATGTTGCACACTTTATGCAACTTTAAGAGACAAGCTGATGACTATCTAAAAGAGTACCAATTTAATAAATTATGCACATCTGTTATCAATTTAACAACGAATCAAATATCAGCATTATATTATACCGCAATTAAGGATCGATTATATTGCGACACTGTTGATAGCGATAACCGAAGATCCGCTCAATTCGTTTTAAACCAGATGTTCTTGGTTTTGGGTGAAAGTCTCGGTTCCATAGTCCCACATTTAATTGAAGAACTTCACGGACACTTACATAACGAATCATCAAAATCCTTTTATGAAAGCCATGAACCTAACAAACTCGATGAATGGCATAACGATAGCGTCAAGGAGGTAATGAAAACAGTGCTGGACGTAAAAAAAGAATTGAATAAGATTCTTGGTGCAAACACTAATAACTCTTCAATCAACATAAAAGTCTCAAAAGAATTTTCCAATAAGATCGAGGTAAAACTAACACAGTTTAAGAAGTTAAATTATTTTAAATTATATTTTTTGTTGCAGGATATTAGTAGATTCTCAGATGAGTTAGTTGCCATTCTGCAAGTTTCTTCGGTATCGATTGAAGTAGATGAACAACAAAATATTTTGTTCAATTTGGAAACAAAGCAAACGGATAAGTTTAATTGTCAAAGATGCCGAAAGTTCACATCGATTACTGAAGGCGATTTATGTAATCGCTGTTCCGATGTCCTACAATTACTGGAGAAAAGCGATGCATTGAAAATTTAATAATTTTTAATTAATTCAATTTCTTAACATCAAACACAATAAAGAACTTAAATTATTGAACTATTTAAAGCTACATTGAAAGAAGTTCTAATTTTTCTTTTTCTTCTGAAGTTTCCTTAATAAAATTTCTCTTGCTGATGGTCCTTCGAAGCTGCTTTCACTCATACCATCAATTATCTTCTGCAGCTTAACAGGTGGTGAATTCGGAAGACGCGGTTTAATATTTGCATTTTTGGTCAGTTTCAACGTATCGATTTTTCTTTCGAGTACGTTTCCTTCCATGGTAAGAACAGCGACATCGTCGTTGAATTTCGTTATCTTTTCTTTAGTCATTTCAATATTCCTTTTCATAACTTCATAAGATTCATTAAGATTAATGCGTTTCTCTTCTTGGTTAGCCTTAGATTCTATTAGACGAGCTTGCGAGTTTTCTTTAATCTGCTGAATATTCATACGAAGATTATTAATAATGTTCCTGTACATTTCGCAGTTGATTTCAAAATCGTTCTGAATTTTCTCTTTCTTCTGATCAATTTCAGAATCTACTTGGATTACTCTCATCTTCTGGTGTTCTAATTCTATCTCTTCAGTAAGTATTAATGTTTTATTGTCCAGTGATTGAGACTCCATTTCGATACTCGCTATATTTTGTTCTAGCTCTAAATTGTCAATATCAGTTTTCATATAATGCTGTATTTTGCAAATTTGTTCTTTCCATGATTCGATTGAATTATTTTTTAAATCCCAGTCCTATAATAAAAATATTTAATATATATAAGGTAATCTGTTAATTTATATAATATCTAGATGATAATCCCAACCAATAATAGTTTTAAGTCAATACGTCAATCCTATTACATAGGACGAAACAAAAAATATTCAAAATAATCCTTTGAATAGTTTTTTGTACTTCTCTACTTTGAATTAGATTTATATATTTTGATTGGAAAATTTGTCTCAATATAGATAATACCAGTAACGGATTATGTATAGTTGAGCCCATAGGCAAATTAGTTTTGGGAGCACCCAAAAATACTATAAACAATCATCTATTTTAAATACTATAGAAAAATCTCTTGACTCGGGCCCCCTAACGCCCGAGGTACATGCCTCATTGCCTTAATGTATAATCCGCCACTGGATTATACAATAACACATTAAATATTTACCATATTTACAACATTTACATCATCCATATGTTCATGATAATAATCTTTCAACAGATTAACTTCAGAGTCCAATTTTGATTGGTTGTATAAAGCAACTTGCTTGTAATTGTTTTCAGTATCTTTTAATAAAGCTACCGACGATTGCAAACTTTCCAAGGTCATACTAAGTTGCTCGTTCTTTTCATTAATCCCGCTTGTTCTAAAAGTAATAATTGATTTCGATTTTACAATAGAAGAAAAAATAAAAACTTACTTTTTCAAATATTCTTCCAACACATTTCTAAGTCTTTCGATCTCAGTATCATAGGTAACTTTAATTTTATCAATTTCTTCTTTAATTTTCAAATTATTCTCAGACACACTAGAAAATTCTAATTGAATCTTATCATTTTCGTCACTTAGTTTCAATAAGGTTGAATTTAATTCTTCATTTTCCAGTTGGAATTTCTCGATAGTTTTATCAATTTCGACATTTTGTGCTTGCAGTTTCTCAGTTTCCGTCTGTGCTTCTTTTAAAGTATCAGTAATAGACTGATTCTTAATTTCGATCTCTTCGAGAACTTTAGCATATGTATCATTTATTTGATTTAAATTCTTTGTTTCATTGTTGATGCGTAAGGACTCTGTATTGTTAAGTACTATTACTTTCTCATTCAATTCATGGATTCTCTTTTTTATTAATTTATCATTAAGTTCGCATTCCACAGAAATCTGCTTTATATCACGGAAGTAACTATTAATTTGTTGTACCCGAGATTCAATATTTTTGGCAACATCGAAGCCCCCGTTGTAAGTTTTTATGTTCATGTTCCCATTAATTTTATAAACGATATACTCACTTTGCAACTTACTTAATTTTGATAGAAACTCTTCGTTTATTGCATTGTCTTGCACTTTACTTTCCTTATATATTTTGCATTGTTCTTCAAAGCATTTCTAAAATATTCTTAAATAATTTAAATTTACCAATTACGTAATAACCGTTTCTTACTTGATCATCTAGTAGTGCTTTCGCTATAGCTTCCGCGTTCGAAGGATTACTCCGTGCTGCATTCATTATTTAAGTTATTAATTTGAGTTACTTTGTTTCAAGTAAAATTTTCTTGAAATTTTAAATTTCAAATCACTTCAACCACGCGTTACAATGAAGTTAGTTCTATACTTAAATCATGAATACCAATCATAGCTGATCCAAGCCTAGTTAGTTTGGTTTTTTTTGAAGGATAACCTAACTTTTATTAATTGAACCACATATAAGTCTTATATTATTTATTAAAAACATGATTACTTATGAATTATGCTTGTTATTAAGAGTTATGCCAAAAGTAAGTATGCATAATTCTTGTCGAATTCATTTATTGTTGTTTTAACATTTTAGAAAGAATTGGCTGCAACTTTAAAGCGCACTGCAACTGCAATATTTGATAAATCTGGTTTCATAAGGAAAATTGAAAACCTTGGTACAAGGGATATGCCATACAAGACTAGCTCTCATGGAGTTGTATATAACAAGGCCAGTTATTTCTTAATTGAAATGAATGTACCTCCATCAACAGTTGAAGAATTGAAAGAAGAGTACTCAAGAGATGTTGATATTATCAGGAGAAGAGTGTACAAGAAAATTCCACCATCAGAGGCTGAATGCACTTTACATGAAGAAATGTTACCAGCACCTTACCGTAAGGATGTGCAAGAGCTCATAGCATCATCAAAGAAACTGCAAAAACCAAGATTTAGTTACAACAGTGGTTTGGATTACTATCCATTCCAAAAATAAATACACCTTTTAGAAAACTGTAGTTATTAAATTTAATTAGGAAAATAAATTAAATACAAAATTGTGTACCCCATTCATATTACATCTACCATATAATGCAGATCAAACACCAATACATTTAGTACTTATTTTGCATTTGTAACTGATATAATAGTTAACTGTGTCATTCAAATTCTAGAATACAGACAAAATTAAGGTTATTGATGTCTGGACTTATTTGTAAATTATAAATAGTCTAGGCATATTCGTGTATTCAATGGATTTGTGATTTACAGTGGTATTTATATGATTGTTGGGATTTTAATAAATATTGTCTTAATAAAGAAACGGGTATTTCTTTTGTTTTAGTTAAATTAATTGTTCTTAAATATATTTTGTTTTCTTTCAACAATTAATCACAAAATGATAGTCAGTACGAAGATGATTTGGATCACTGGGAAGATGGGAGATGTTCTTATATTAAATGCACAATAATTTACAGAAATTAAGGATAATTGTGTACATAAATAATACTTAAATTAACAATAACATGCAAGAAAAATAATACTGTAAACAAAAAATAGTTCTTAAACTCTAACTTGAAATTCGCTTCTTGTATTTCTTGAGTTTCCTATAACCTTTGCCAAACCAACCTGGCTGGACTTTAGATTTTTGTTCACTAGATTCATCACTAATCTTACTAATTTTGTCTGGCGAAACATCTTCGTCATTATCTTCATCCTCCTCGGTGGTGTAATCACAGCACGTACAGTAAAGCGGTTTATCTACATTATCCATTTTACTGAAACGAAGCTCTTGTTTCGCGAATACAGGTTCAGTTTTGTTGTAGAAAACGCAATCTGTGGATTTGTAATGTTTATAACAGAATTCGCATTTGGCTGTCTCTCTTTCTTTCGCATCGTCCTTATCCGATGTGCTTGAATAGTTGTGTTCTTCTGTGATGTAGGGCAAAGGGTTAATAATACTATGGAGACCAGAATATAATAGACTACTCTGTATTGGATAGGTAAGCATGTCCCGGTACGCAAACACTGGGTTTTGTAGAATCGTGTTGGAGATTTGGTAATAAGTTAGAAGAGCCTGGCAATTCTGCTTCAACAAGAGATTATTCTGTAACAGATTTTCGGTGTCCGTCCGTTTCAGAATGTCGTCGATTGAAAAAACACTAGCATTCGAGTGAGGTATCATAGTCTGAGTATTTGGAAGACCTAAAGGAATCGGTGCTTTGCCGGTAATACTATAAATATTGCTTAAGAGTTTATCACAGTTTTCACCATCGGGTTTTTTCAAGTCTATACTAGATTTGAGATCTTTATTCGTGCAGTAGTCTATTGGTTGATCGTCGGTAATTTCCTCCTCCTTCACTTCTACCTTCTCGAGTTTGCAGTATTTCAGCAGCGGTTGAGTCGTGGTGTGCAGCTCAGGTTCACTTAAAATAGTACCGTGCACGAAGATTGGGTCCTTGTCACGGTCATATTTAGGCACAGGAATGCCTAACAAGTCCATAACAATCTCCATGACGATATCGCATTTTCCGTGGATCTTGGCATTCGCTGCATCGTCTTTAGGTGTCCATTGCAGATTCACAATATACAGATTAGGCCTCCTCTTCTGTGGTTTGTGCATCTGCCATAGCCACGGATATTTCTTCAGTACTTTAAGACTAGATCCCAAACACAAAATTGTTGTAGCTTTACGAGCATTCTTACTTGCACCGGACCAATTCAACGGCCACGGTAAGCTACCGCGTTCACCGAAATGAACTATAGTATCTACTAAAGGTCCATTACACACGTAACACTTCCTCATAGTCTTGTGAGAATATCGAGCCGTATTCTCAGTGACGTCGAATAGTCGCCAATATTCTCGGAACGGTTTGCACGACTTGCAAACCTCAATGTACATATTCCCATGCACTTCGGAAATCGCAGTTCTCGGTAGACCAGATCGCAGATGCAGTCCATCGCAGTTTTGCGAGACGACGTACTTAAGTATTTTCCTTCTGTATAACTCTGATAGTGCCATGTGCGTGTAAGTAGGTTCCGCTAAACTTAGATCATGATTTCTGAAAATTGATTATCACAATTAATAACGTGAAATTGCAAATCCAACTCGGATTTTACCCTATATCTTTTCCCTGTTGCAACCTAGTCCAAATACCGTTCGTGCCTCGGTAATCCGGTATCCGCGCTGCCGTGCTAATTCCAGCTCCAGTATATACAACCAGATGTTGCGATTGGGCTATGGCCTGCGCCAGAATGTTGCACTTGTCTCGTAACTGCTCTACAGGCTCTTCGAACTCCTCTAATCGCCGTTTTGCCGCATCGCGTTTTTTCCACCTGGCTTGCACCTCTTTCACTATCTCATTATACTCCGTGAGCAGTTCAATATCCTCATTTGTGCGATCCAGCTCAGGCTTTTGCAAGACCAAAGATACCTACAACAATATAAATAGCTTAGATATCTAGTACAACTAAAATATATTTCCTTGTATAATAATTCAAAGACAATTTACATATGCCTTGCCAATAAATAAACAAACAAAAATAGATTTATTAAATAATAGTAATTAAAAATAAGCTAATAATAACTATAGACAATAAAGAAAATAAAGCTTTATAAATCGCAAATAAATTTACTGAAGTGGATTATATTATTAAAAAATGTTGTTCGAAAATTAATTTACGAATTTGTAAAATTGTTATAGAGTGCGCAAGTTGTTTATTCTTGTTCTGTACTAAAAAAGTAATAGACCGGTGGATTAAATCGACTTGTTGGCCGCCCCTGCTTTATAGAAACCATGTAAAACAACAGCTATTATCACCTAAATAAATCCAGTTATGAAAACTTGGAATAATTATATAATGAAATATTTTTTATAAAAAATCTATTATGATTTAACATCATAAAATTAAGTTTCAAATGTTTGCATCCAATGCCAGCTACTAAAAATGTAAACATTCACGTTTGAACTAGTCTATAAAATTATTCACTGTTTAAGCAACAATCATAAAACAAACAAATATTTTTTTATTAACTCCAGTCAGCATCATTTGATCTTTTTGTAAACTAATATTTATACATGTAATATACATATAATATGTATATGTACACAGTATAAGATTTATACAAATTTTATGGAAATTTAAAATCAAACTATATGTTGAAAAAAAAAGTCTAATAGGTTGAAACACTTTGGTCAGTGACCTTTTTTATACATAAATATTGGTTCTCTGTTGAAGTAGTGATAATAGTATTAATAATTATAAAAATTAGAGAAATAACAATAAAGATTGTTATTAATACAATAACAAAATAATAGTAATAAATGTATGAGTATAATATGATAATGTTTATATATTCTTTGCATAATGGTTGAAGTTAATATGTTCCAATTTTGCGTTATTTTGTTGAAAAAGATATGTTTATTTATTGTAAAACATTTAATCTTGAATTGAAAGTGGTATATAAATAATAATAGTGTGTGTTTATGTGAGTATTATATGTTGATTAAATCAGAAGTGGATGCACTTTGAATAAGTCTATTTATAATAGAGTGAAAGAATTCCAATTGCATAGAATATTCGCAGTGGAATATGCTTGCGTTTTGTTTGTATTTTCTTCTAAATCATAATATATAAATAGACTGGTGTATTTATTTACCTTCTTGATGGTGGCGTTTCTTTCATCTTTGGCACACAGTTGTTTCACTTGCTGTTTTCTGAGTAACCTTTTGCTGACATTTAGATCATCGTCGGTATCAACTTCAGGCACATCGCAATTATCAATTTCCATCTTTAGAAACGGCACTGGCACATGTTTACCTCATACCGTACTTTCACTACCGATGCAGTTCTCTCTGCTGTTACACAACTTTTACACGGGAAATTCTCATGCGTTCTTATCAAAACATAAACAAGTACGTTGACCTTGTTAACCATATTGAATCCATTCTATTTCCGAACCAATCAAAATAGCTTTCGAAACATGCATTGTTATTGCCGCAATTACTGAATCAATTACTTGATTTTCATATGCTCCCTTATGTCTCCGTTCATATATATGTGATATTGAGTGTAGTATATATATACTATATACAACGATGCTGATTGGCTGCACGTAATTGTTCAAATTGGACCACGTTATTTGTTCATTGGCAGAAACAATTTGTTTACCGGGCGCCACCTTAACGACACTAATCCAAATAATAAATATTTAGACTTTAACAACTAGGAAGTGGAGAGCACTGAACACTCCAGGTGAAGCAGAAACATGTACCAACGTTACAGATTAAAATCTATAATTAAACTTGTTTGAAGCTGACTAAATTCAGTCTTCCAATTATTCATATAATAAATAAATGTTCTTTCCATGAATCTTACCATTATAAAGAACTTAGCAACAAACTACATTTGTTAATTATTTAACACTTTTTCTTTCAACAAATTTAATTTACCTATACTTTAATAGTAAACAAACCGAAAATTGTTATCTTAACAAAATAAGAATGGTAAAAAGAATAAAATAAACAAACAATTTTGTTCCGGTATTGTTTTTTTTTTATTATGTTCATGTTGACATGTGAAATGTCACCATCAGCTGTCAAGAAAATTTAACACTTGTAGCAATGACAACATTTCTCGTAATATTTAAGTAAAATAGTAAAGTTTAATTTAGATAACTTTAAAAAACTGCATCAAAATGAACGTTATCGAAGCTGCAAAGGCGTATGTAAATAAAATGATAGAAGAAAGTGAGCCAGGAATGAAGTTGCTGCTCGTGGATAAAGAGACTATAAGCATCATAAGTATGGTCTATGGTCAGTCAGATATACAGCAAAAGGAGGTATTTCTAGTTGAGAGATTGGATGCGAACAAGCCAACCCAAGGACCTAGCCTCAGATACCTAAAGTGTTTAGTTTTCATTCGTCCTACTCAGCAGAATATTGAACTGCTCTGTAATGAATTACAGAACCCAAAGTATGGAGCTTATTACATATATTTTACCAACATCTTGGCCAAAGCTGATGTTAAAATCTTGGCTGAACATGATGAGCAAGAAGTTGTTAAAGAAGTGCAAGAATATTACATAGATTTCTTAGCTGTCAACCCACATCTGTTCTCACTTGGAATACCATACTCCATGACTAATTCCATCTGGTATGCTCCAGCTTTGCAGAGGTCTGTACAAGGATTATTATCAATTCTGTTGTCTTTGAAAATGTGCCCATTGATTCGTTATCAAGGCAACTCAAAGCTTTGCAAGGATCTAAGCTTCAGAATAAAAGAAGTCATTGATAAGGAAACCACCCTATTCTCATTTGGCCAAAACGGAAACGCCCTGCTTCTGATACTGGATAGGAGGGATGATCCCATCACACCTTTGCTTAACCAATGGACATATCAAGCAATGGTTCATGAGCTTTTAACTATTAACAACAATCGCGTGAATTTATCACAAGTCCCTGGGATCTCTAAAGAGCTGTCAGAGGTCGTTCTATCAGCTGAACAGGACGCTTTCTATGCCGAAAATTTATTTATGAATTACGGAGAGATTGGCCAGAATATTAAAGATTTGATGGAACAATTTCAGATCAAAGCCAAGGGACATCAAAAGATCGAGAGCATTGCCGATATGAAGAACTTTGTGGAAACATATCCGCAATTCAAGAAACTGTCTGGTAACGTTTCCAAACATATCACAGTCGTAGGAGAACTGGCTGCAAATGTGACAAAGTATTCTTTGCTTGAAGTATCTGAAATTGAACAAGAAGTTGTTTCACAGAATGACCATTCTGGACATTTACAGAATATTAAAAAGATGATAAATAATATGTCTAACATAAGAGATGCAGATATTGCCAAACTAGTCATGCTATATGCCCTAAGATACCATAACCAAAGTAACAGTGAGACAAACCGATTGGTTGCAATGCTGAAACAAAAAAGTGTCTCTGAATATTACATAAAAGACATCTACAACATTCTTGAATATGCAGGTACACATTCCAGGCAGAGTGAATTACTCAATGTTGAGAATGCAGTTAAAATAACAAAGAGATTCTTCAAGGGCTTGAATGGTGTGGAAAATATCTACACACAGCACAAACCATTGCTTCATGAAACATTAGATGCTCTCTTCAAAGGACGTTTGAAGGAAAATCTTTATCCATATACCAACCAGTACCAAACCAATGGACGTCCACAGAAAGTGATTGTATTTGTAGTTGGTGGAGTCACCTATGAGGAATCCCTTACAGTCCACACATTCAACAAAAACTTCCCAGGCATTCAGATTATTCTTGGTGGAACTACTGTCCACAACTCCAAAAGCTTTTTGGAGGAAGTGGAGAGGTCCATCAGGAACAAACATTCCTAAATTATTAATTAAACATTTTATTTATGTGTGATGTAAATAAAAAATAAGAGTATATGTACTAAATAATTTATTTATTTTTAATAATTTATATCATAATCTGTCATTTTCTTTGCAAGCATCCACCAAGTATCTAGAAATCCAACATCAATTATTCTGTTTATTATTTCTGAGTACTTCAATTGTAAGTAGGAACATTGTGTTTGGAAGGCAGCACATTTGTCACTGTTATTGTCCACCCAAATAAATGAAATAAATCCCAAGCTTGTGTGTCTGATCAATTGGTTATTATAACATTTCTCAATATATTTTAAATGATCCATGGTCTCCTCTTTCGTTAAACTGGGATGAACCAGAGAAACATCATTGGCTGCTTTGATGTAGGCATCTCTGAAGTGTGTTGAGTTGGGATTATGTTTGGCACAGTATACTAGCAGTCCAGCAGTTGATCCAATTAGTATTGCTTTTGATGGTTTCTCTCTGGATTCTTTAATAACGTCTCCAGCGACATCCTTGTAATCCCTGCATACATTTTTCCAATACCTTACCCAGTTCTCTGCCATTGTACCTTCAACTCTTTTCTCGAGTTTTGTAAACCTCTCATTGAAATTCTCCGTTATTGACAATTTTGTTTGTTTTATTTTAGTGAAGAAACCCACACTTTTCTTTACTTTAAACATTTTCGTTATTTAAAATATATAATATAATGTTCGTATTTATTTCTAGGTTATGCAAAGTTTTGACATATCAATCATGAGGTAACATTCGTTATTTAGCAACAATATATTTAAATTTTGCAAAAAATATTTACTCAAATGTTTATTAATTGTTTAAAACGTCCATATAAACATATATTGCAAATAATAAATTCAAATTTAAAAATTCTACTTCACATTGGCAGCAATGTTTTGGTAACTTCAGTTCTGTCATGTCCACCATTACAATACATGTGGGTTAGTGTTTCACTTGGTCAAAATTTTGTGGATTTTTAATTTGTGCAAAGGTAATTTCAGACAAATAGAATCGATGTCTTTAAGATAATTTTAAGTGTAATATGCCATCCAAATGTCGGATGGAGTTACGGAACAATTAAAGCGTTTTGTGTTTACGTCCAAAACTATCCTAAGAGGCGAAATACAGGAGGAAAAATTGGAAATAATTATACCCGAGGTACAAATTGGCCTTTATCTCATAATGAAATTGGTGCTGGTTTAGTTCTTGATTAGATAGTTGTTTAGCCATTGAATATTTAGTGATTATGTAATAACCAGTAGTTACTGCAACAACACATCAGTTGACTTCATTAATTTTGAGTTACACTCAGGAGAACTCACAGTAGGCAATAGTGTTATTAATAATTTTTAGATCTACTCATATTTCACTACTAAAGTTATTTTCAAAATTTAAATTAAATCTTAAGGCCAACTTGAATGGAATATGTATTTGCATTAAATCTCTTCAATATAACTCTTAATATTATTAGTATTTCTCTTAATTCCAATTATTCCTAAAACTTAAACATAACTTTTCATAGTGTCTTTTATATTATTTGTATTTTTGTTTTGCAGCTATTGCAAGCCAGCTACTCATTTTATACTTGGCCATCTGCACCAGTTCTTGCTTGGTTCTTGTGGGAGAATAGACAAGAATTAGTTGGCAAAAGGGTTTTGGAAGTTGGTTCTGGAACAGCATTGCCAGGAATATTAGCTGCAAAGTGTGGAGCTATAGTGACTCTCAGTGATTCAATAACTCTTCCCAAATCATTAATACACATTCAGAGAAGTTGCACTTTGAATAATCTCAAAGTTAATGAGAATATCCGATTGATTGGAATCACCTGGGGACTGTTTTTACACAATTTCGAGAATTTAGGACCAATTGATTTGATCTTAGGTTCTGATTGTTTCTATGAGCCTTCTGTTTTTGAAGATATAATTGTCACTGTGTCATATATTTTTGACACAAATCCAGGTGCCAAGTTTCTCTGTACTTACCAGGAGAGAAGCTCTGATTGGACCATAGAATCACTTCTAGTTAAGTGGGGTTTAAAGTGTCAAGTACACAGTATTGAGAATTTAGGCGCAAGTGCTGGCCTAGATATACACAAGCTAATTGGAGATCATAATATTCAACTGATTGAAATATTTCGATAGATTATGGCTACTATTGCACGTAACATTTTGAAGTTGTATGTGGGAAATGTTCCATGGACCATTGGAAACTACGAGTTGAGGCAATACTTCAGCAAATACGGACATGTATCTTCTGTCAGCGTTATTTTCGATAAGAATACTGGATTTTCGAAGAATTACGGTTTCGTAGTTTACAGCAATAAGGACGGATTTGACACTGCCACTAATGTTACTAATCACGTCTTGGAAGGAAACAATTTGAAAGTTGAACCGACGTCAAATTAAAATAGATACTTAGGTATAATATTGTAGTATATTTATAGTAATAAAATGGCTTGTGACGACTATGACGATCTTGTCGAGCTCGGCATCGAAGATGAATTAAGTTCAGGATTTTCAAAAGCTTCCGATTATGTGCAAAAGAATGCCTCTAGCATGAGTAGCGAAGTTCTCTTGAAACTCTATGCTTACTACAAACAAGCGACTGAAGGAAAATGCAACACTCCCAAACCCAGCTGGTATGATTTAAGGGCCAAGTCTAAATGGGAGGCTTGGAATAATTTAAGAGAATTACCTCAAAACGAAGCCAAACAATTGTATATTAATATAATTCGCGAGTTGGACTCCAGCGTCTTGACTGATGTGTCCAGTAGTAAGGAAGGATGGGTAACTGTGTCCACATTGCAACAAAACAACGAAGAAAAAGTCGAATCCGATTATGAATTTCTTGATTACATAAAGGATGGCAATTATGCGAAGGTCGCGGATTTGCTTAAAAACAATGCAATAAAATCGGAGATCAACGCGCTGGATGGTGAAGGTTTGGCTGCAATACATTGGGCATCCGATCGAGGTTCATACGAAACTATTAAGATGTTACTAGCTAATGGCGCCAAAGTGAATCTTCAAGATGCCGATGGACAAACCGCGTTGCATTATGCTGCCAGTTGTGGGCACAGTGAGTGTGTTAAAGTTTTGCTATCTGAAGGTGCTGATCCAAAATTGAAGGACTCCGATGGGTCCGACTGTTTTGGTGTCGCTTGTGATGAGACTGTAACTAGTTTATTGCGGATGTAGAAAGTGGAATACATATTGTTATCTTAATATCATGTCACTGTCATTTTAAATGTAATAATTATCTTATACATACTTTTCTTCTTTTATTATTATTAAAATGAAAACACTGTAAAAAAGGTACTTGTTTTTCTTAATTTAATGTGTATATATTAAATAATCACTGAACCTCGCCGCAGGCAGAAATAGTAACTTTTTCTGACGGTGTTCCGCTTTTTGAACCACACCGTTCCATCCTTTTAACAACATCCATTCCGCTAATAACATGACCGAAAACAACATGTTTAGAGTCCAACCATTCCGTCTTCGCTGTGCAAATGAAGAACTGTGAACCATTCGAATTAGGTCCAGAGTTTGCCATGGATAGTGTTCCTATCCCAGTATGCTTTAATTCAAAGTTTTCATCTGCAAACTTCCTGCCATATATCGATTTCCCACCAGTACCATTGTGATTGGTAAAATCACCACCTTGGCACATCTGAAAAGACACATTGAACCAAAAATAAATTTAATAATTTTATATATTACTTACAAAGTCAGGGATGATTCTGTGAAATGAACTACCTTGAAATCCATATCCTTTTTCATGTGTACATAAACACTTGAAGTTTTCTGCAGTTCTTGGTACAACATCCATTCTTAGCATCATAGTTATTCTGCCCACTTCTGATCTACCAATTTTAATGTCAAAGAACACTTGTGGATTCTTCACTTTCTTTGGAATTTCCACAACTGCTCCATTCTGTAAATTTGTTTCTATAATATTTGATTATTGAATATTTTAAGTATTTACCTCATTGGTTGCTGCTGGTTCTTCTTCATTATTAGACTTTTGGATAGTTTCTCCTGCATGTTGTTGCAACCATGTATCTTCTGACCAAACAGGCCTAGTAGAACCTTCTTTGATCCTTTGCGGTTTAGCCAAGTTAACTCTAATTGTTCTACCAAACAATTCTGAATCATTCTACAAATAAATAAATTGAATATTGATGTAACTAAATTTAATATATTTCTTTTACCATATTATCAATAGCTGCTGCAGCATCTTCAGCACTTTCAAATTCGATAAAAGCGAAGCCCCTGTGTTTTTCAGACTCATAATCCAATGGGATTTGAACATCCACTATGTCACCAAATGGAATAAATGCAGCGTTTAATACCTTTTCGTCAGTCTCTTCTGCTAAACCACCCACATAAATTGTTCTTTTATTCGACATGTTTTCAAATTGCTTACAAAATAAAACGAACGTATATTTTTGAGGTTAGGACATATTTTTGTCTTATTATTACTATAGGCAAACAAGTTTACAGCATTTGATAAATTGTTTGTAATTTCATAATAAATTGCAAGATATTAAATATCTTATAATAAATTTGATTAAAATAATTAATTTTATAGAAAGAATTATTTTGTCATATATATTGAATATCCTTTTATAAGATTTATATCAATTGTTATTGATATAAATCTCTTTGCCCTATTTCCACCATTTCACTTTTTGGTGTTGACTATATATATTTTGTTTTAATGTACAAAGTAAAATATACTTGAAAGCCATCATTTCTAATTGTTTGTGGGTTTTCATCCTATTAAAAACTATTTTAACTATATTTGATATAACATAATAATAGCTTATTTAAATTATTTCACATCACCAATTGCTATTAAACAAATCAGCATATGAAATAAAGGAATTGAAATAAGTGATTAATAACTATTATAAACTTTCAATTTTATTTATTCTCATCTTTTATATATACTTGTATATAGAAACAAATAGAAATTTATATTTTAAATACATTAAAAAAAGGAATAATATATATATTTATGAAATAAACATAGAACGAGCAAATAAAGTTCTCTCAAAACATTTGTTACAGGAATAAAAAATATGGTGTTTTAACTGTACCAATATAGAATTTTCTTTAATTAAAATATAAATAATACTTATTTACACGATTTAAAAGCGACATGTGATTAAAAATAAACTTAGCGAATTCAGTTCTATTAAAAATAAGAATAAAAAAATGCAGTATGAATATGTAAATATCATAAGCGCATCTCGCGTGTCTCTTTTACATACTTAAACACCCTTCTAAGAATTCCTTTGCGCTTTTTTAATTTTTCTCTCTCTCTCTCTTTCTATTTATATATGTGTGTTTGTATAATACGATTTTTATCACCCAGATTTCAGTGTGCTGTCAGGATAACGAAAATTAATAGAAATGCAAAATTGCAGAGCACCAACAACAATAAATTCATATACGTATTAATTGTCTAAATTCTCCGTTTCGACTTTTGGTTTAACTACTGGCGGCGGTGGGGGAGGCTGTGAAGGTTTGTTTAAACTTCTAGGGGAAGCGGGCGGCTGCAGGGTTGTCGCCGTTATTGACTCTGAATTTAAATCTACAATGTTTCCATCGGACCTTGTTCGTATGTGACTAGTTTTGGGATTACCATTGATCCTCTCACTGTTTTGATCGACGTTGAGTTTTTCATTGGACTTCATGATTGGAGGCCTCGTAGGAATATCCGGTTTCTTCTTATCGCAGTTGAAATTAATGTCATTAAATTTGTTCTCAAGGGATGGGCGAGGCGCGGGCTGCTGATTTAAGAACTTCTGCTTCTCCGCAAACTGATTGTCGTGTCCCGAGTTCTTGTCCCGTATGTTCACAATGCTAGGTTGCTGTTTGTGTGGTATGTTGTACACGGAGCATTGCGTCTTTTGTATCGACGGATCGATGTCTTGTGTTCTAGGAAGTGGTTGGCGTAATGATGCAGGTCTCATTGGTATTGCCGGCTTTCCGGGTCTCTCTAATTCGTCCCTGGAGAGCCTCCTCATCGAGACAGTCTCACCTTCGATTTCTATTGCGGTTGTGGACTTCGACATTGCATCGTTCTGATTCACTTTGTCCGGCTCGGCGAGTATTGACGTTCTGGGCGCTGCGACAGGTTTGACAATTTCCACAGGGCTATCTTGTGCTGAAATTGACTGTACGGGCTTGGACTTGGTTAATTGCACGTTTGTTGCCGCTTGTACGTATTTGTGGTCTACCACTTTGGCACTATCTATATTGACTAGAGGCGGATTCATTGCATCGATTTTTTGTATGTGCACTTTACTGTTATCATCTATTATTAAACTTGACCTTCGAATTTTCTCTTCGTCTTCACTTTCCGCTTTCGAGGACCGCCAAGATTTATCCGATGACCTAATTTTATGAGATCGGTTTAGCGTGGAGCTGCCGGAAGGATAAGACGATGTGCTATCTGTGCTGTCGCAGTCATCATTCCTCTGGTTAGGCGGCGCGGGCGCTTGTTTAACTTTCTTCCTCATGATAGGCCTCGGACTTGCGGTCTCAGAATGAAAGCTGCCATCTAGGTGATCGATGTTCCTGATTCCAATCACCTCGGGCCGATGGAAAGTGTCCCCATCCAAGATATCACCTTTCCGGATTGTCGTGAATTTCATCATGTCGTCAGGGAACAGCAACTCGACATTGATCAAAAACAATTCTACAATCATGTTGAGCGCAGCGCATACTTTCATATTCGTTTTCATTTCATCGTTTTTGGCCCACAGAAGATTCGGCGAAATTACTATGGCGAGGTTCGACAAACTCATTTTGTTCTCGTGGTGTTTGGACAACTTGTTAAGAAAATGCATAAGAAATGCCAAATTTTCTCTATTCTGTGGAGGCATCAGTTTCAAAATATCCTGCGCTTTGGGAATCCTCTGGTCGTCCGGGAGTTTCATTAGCTCTATCCAATCTTCATATAATGCATAAGTTAGAAGCGGCTCCGGCAGTTCCCTCAAATAGGATTTCAGTGTACTGGCTAATACATGAACGTCTCTGTACTCCTGAATCAACGGTAAACAGAAGCATCCGGAATCGATCGACGATTTTAACCTCTTCACCCTAGATGCACCTATTAACAGTTGAAGTGTTTAGTAAACAAGCTCTCTTTTTAGTGCATTCAAACTTACCTCCAACTATTCTAAATAAACCTTCCTCCGACATGCCTAATTCCATCAACGATACGACGCACAGCTCCAACGGATACGCTAATTTTCTTTTGCTCACCTTCAAATGCTCCCTCAGGTCACATCCAAATATTGGCTTTACTTCACTATCATCTGTTAATTTAAAAAATGTAAATATTGTTCTTAAGGAGGTCTAAAACTTAAAGCTCAATGAAAAATTGGAAAAGTTATAAAGGTTGATACTATTAAAGTTGTACAAATAATTCATTCCAATTTTTTAAATTAATATACATGCAAGTATAATCTAATATGTTGTAGTTACCGATATGTTTCTCCAATTTTGGTATGATATCCGCTAACGTCTTTAAGGCACTCTCATGATACGACCGTTGCATCTTTAGAATTTGTAAAAGGTATGAACTAATCTCATTTTCTCTGCGTAAAAGGCTAAACATTTCCACTGCCAATATATCCCTGCTCTGATCTACCTTGATGTCGGCTTCCTCCATGTCTTCTTTCAAATTTTCCTTTTGTCCATTTTTAGTTGCGCTCTGCAAAATCAAAGATTAATCAAATCGTGATCAAACAGAATTACACTCTCCCTAGATCCACTTACTTGCCACCTATTCGTCGCCGAATCTTTGTCCAAAATATATTTACTCAAACTCTTCTTCAGTTTCATGATGTTGGGCAGATCCTTCTCCAAGATCGTATTCACCGGCGCCATCACATGATTTTCTACATTCCCTTCGCATATTGCTTGATCTTCGGATATGCACAATTCAATATTGCCAAACTCCTTGAGGACATACAGCAGCAGCGACTTTTCAGTCTCATCTTGTAATAATTCATTCGTGTAATTGCCAAGTGAATGCTCATAATTCTTTTTCTAAAATTAAATCAAAAATCAAATGGAATCCCTTGATTAAGGTAACAACAAAAACAAACCTTTTTCAACTTTTTACTAATCTCGGTTAAAGCTCTAGTTATATATTCTACTTTAATGTCGGCCTTCTTCAATTCATCGTGATTCAAACCTTCGCTTTTGTCAGCCCTGAAAGAATAAAAGTAAATATCGTAAATGAAACAGATATTATAATAAATTAAATTTCCTTGTGAATCCCGACTGCACGAAATCGTGATTACAGGAGGACACACTCAATAAATTCAATTTAAGTCTTTAGATTGAGACCAATTTTCTTTTGATACGTTAAATAGGATAATCGTCCAATTGAGGCTTGTGTAAGGATGCATAACAAGTTATCATCCTTTTTTACGTAGCATCAATATGCTTTATGCAAGAGCGTTAAATATTCACCGTATATTATTTATTTCATAGCTGCTGGAATTGCACCGAACGTGCGGCAACGTTCCCATGTAAATTCGCCTTTTCCTAATGAAAATTATACAACAATTTATTGATTGGAGGTTCCCGTGGTTAGATGCCTTATGCAAGCACATTGTTGATGCATCAAATGCGAATGATTTATGCGCAAATCCGATACGCGAGTTATTTTTAAGCAATTATTTACTTTTATATATAACAGGAAACGATTGAATTCTATAAATATAAGGAAATTTACAGGTCATGCTATCTTAAAATACACCCAGACTGTAATTCAATATTGGCCATTTCGATGGATTCGTTTCTACATCTATTTTTTTTCGTCCTGTAAGACATATTTATAGAGCACAAAAATATGCATGTTTATTTACTTAAAAACGTATTAAGCAATCTGGATGCTCGTTGATATATGAATATGCTGTCTCTATTTAAAATTTTAAAGTAAACTATTATGTAAAGCACATTCGAACATAAATTGCTCACGAAAACGAACTTTTTTTATAACGTATATTGTGTAATTCCGAACATAATTTGTATTATTAAAAACGGATTGGATGTAAAAAGATTTCACGAAATCATTCGTAATTTAATTCATGCTTTTATGACGCAATGAACATTTTACGAATGCACAATTTTAAAGTTTTATGTTAAATGCTTCTCGACTCTCAGCAAAATTATTGGCGAATATTTTTATAACATTAACATTTTACAAATGCACAAAATATAAAGTTAAAATTTCTAAAGTTTTATGCGTGTTGGTTCTCAGCAAATTATTGACGAACCTTTTCATATGACATTAACAAACAATGAATTAATAAATTTATTATGTTCTATACTCAATATCATTTTGGACAGGAAAATATATACTGAAAAGGGCGGAAGTTGAAGATAACGAGTATATCTGGTTTTCCAATGAATGAATCGTTTTTTACAATTATAAGAAAACTTTAGTTTTCTAAATTGTAGTGCTTATTCAATTGTGGAGACTTATCTTCACTGCATGTTTCCTCTAGTGATAATTACTAAAAATAGGCATGTTCCTCTCAACCCTGATATAGATGTAAGAGGAAATCCCAATAGTAATTGTCGTTCGTTCGATAAGGATGTTCACATGCCTAGCATTTTAATTCTTGCTTCGCAATAACGCTATCTCCGTGTTCATTTACTAATCTGTGAGCAATGAGATCTAGCCGTGACCAATATATAATCAATGCTGTTTGTATCGAGTATTTCGTATTAATGCAACTCGATAAGTAAACAGCATGGAATCATCAGTTTACATATTCACAGATAAGAACATTATTATTGTAAAAAAATGCTTCCATGAAAAAATATTATATAAAAATGATACATTTTATATACAATGTTATGAATTAATACTCAAAAATGACACTATATTAAATTAAATTATTTATATTTTTCTGTTTTGTCCTGTTACCGCTCAAAATATATTTGGAATACGGTGGAACCTCGCTTAACGAGTTTAATCCATTCTAAAAATTCCGGATTTTTACTCGTATAGTGAAACATATTAAAAAATTCACATAACATGTGTACACAACTTTTAAAAATGATGTAGCAGGCGCATAATCCGGGACTTCTCATCGTCGCTCGTTAAGCGAGTCATTTTTCTTGCAATTCTTGCAATGCTCGTTATGCGAGGTTCCACTGTATTTGTTTTCTGTAATGCACAACATTTTACAACATCCAAGTATAATAAAGTTTTGTAGGTCAAAAGCACCGCAGCATTTTATGGCAACTAACCAAATTGTATGCACAGTTGTCAAAAAGAAAGTTTGAAATAGGAAGTCCTCGGGCCATATTTTACAGTTTTTATATTGTCATGCCAAATATAGAAGGTATAAACATAAAGAATAGTATAATAATTTTTTTTTACTTCTATCAATTTAATTCGTTTGCTTCATTTTTATAACGAATAAATCAAATACAATTAAATATGTTTGCATTAAATAAATATATGTAATATTCTACATAAGCCAGGTTAAAAATTAGTATTAGTAGTAGTATTATCAACAAAATTCGTTAGTTTATTACATTGTATTGTTAAATTTCTTTGTAAAAGTAAATGCAAAAGTTGAGTAAAATAATATACATTGCATACAATATATCACTAATGATGAAAATGCAAAGAAAAGTGTATAATTTATATTGTTTCTATGAATATTAATAAAATTATCCACGGACATTTTAATCTGGTAAACATTGTAGGCTTAATTCATAATTGGATCGATTCAGGCGCATATGGTTTTCACAAAATACATAGGAAAATGTAATGAATGCATATTATATAGTTTAATACCAAAAGTTGTGGCGCGCACAGAATTATGAATCGATCTTCACACTATGCAGAAATGTACGCTAGGGCCGGGAGAAACAAAAGCCTATTGTAAAACATTGCATAACAGATATGTAGAAACAAGAAACAATAGAAGCAAAAGTTTACAACAACCTTCAAATAATAATGCGCTGCCAAAAATCAATCGGTAAAATTGATCTCGAATTCAACATATTTTCGGTTTATCTACATCGAAAAATTTCAAAATCAGGCTTTTAATAATCGATAATAACACAATATATTTTTATTTTGTTTTTAATAATATTTGGAAAGAATTCGATTTGATTATATATGCAATAAATTATGTTTATTATTACGATTATTTGTTAATACGTTTCCGTATATCACTTTGACCTTGACTAAGTATTCCAGAAATGAACCAAATTTTGAAATACAAAATCAATAACTGTCCAGTATAATTTGTTAGTGTTACGTGAGTTTTAACATTATAATAATATTTGGTTGTATTTATGTAAATTTATTTATATTTGTAATGTGAACATTACAAATATAAATATTATAATTGTAATGTTCACATTACAAATTGATGAGGCTTCAGTTCTTTTTCTGATTTTGAAGTACTTAGCAGAACACGGAAGCAAACATTGCTCTTGACAACAAATTTGAACTGGATGTAATGATGTTAATGAAGAATTTACGAATGAAGACTTCTTAGAAACGGAAAACTAAGAGAAAGTTGACAAGTAACTGAAACTCCTGTTTTTTATTCTCTACAGACATTTCAAGACATCGAAAATGCAATGGATATTCTTAAATAATCTTTTATTTTAATTTTAATTTTTAGAGTTCCTAAAAAATTGAAAAGGTAACAAATGTATATTTTTTTCAGTCGTTGCTTTGAGCACAAATAAAAAAGAGTTGTCTAGTATTGAAGTAGACGGTGAGACATTCAACAAGTGCAGCTTATTTAGATATTGAGGACGATGGAGACATGTTAAATATGTATACTGTAGCTAAAACAAATATTATTTTGTTTATACCCATATTTAATTATGTTAACAAATACTTTTTTGTTTATTATTTGTAATTGTATTTGATGTAAACGGAGGCTTAAAAAAGGAGACGTTTTCATTTTGTAGAAAAAAATAATAATAATCGTAATAAACCTACATTTTGATATACTAAAAATTCAATAAACTTAATTCTTGAAAAAAAATAAATATTTAAAATTACTTTTGCCTTAATATTTCTATCATAATTAAATCGCATCAAGAAAATTATTTATTTTTGTTCTAATCTTTCTTAATTTTTTTGGCCCTAATTCAGTGATTCTCAAAGTGTGAGTCGCGTAAAATATTTTGGGGTAGCAAAAAATAATGACAGATCAAAACAGTCCTAAAGGGGGTCGCAGTCCAAAAAGTTTGAGAATCACTGCCATAATTTATACGAAAGGACGTAAGTTTTTCTTTCCTCTAACTCGTATTATAACAAATTCTGTATACAAAATATGAGAGTATCAATGTGTTTTACAAATGTTACGATTTTTTTAGTTGAAAATTATTACTAATTATATATTTATCTCTGTATTTAAGTTTCTACAAATAATCATAATTTTATCAATATTTAAGTGATTCAATTGCTTTTCCATTATTCTCTAGATAAATTGTTCGTCTAATAGCTCCTAAAATTTGTTTATAATCCTTGTTTACAAGAAATAACCGGCATTCACTAAATAAACAAACATTATATAAGGAGCAAACCTCTTCACCCTAATGTTTAGGTTATTTCTAGGAAGCCCGAATAAATAAATGAACAATCTTTAAACTCAATAAAACAGAAAATATTTATCAGAAACCGATAAACGTAATGACAATTGTTCAAATATTACAAACATTGCTTATACACACGTAAGTAATAACCGATTAAGATAGTCGGCCGAGGCGAAACCGAAATTAGAAATTTATAATTTCGCCTGATTCATTTAATTGACTTACATACAACTCTAATTAACTAATTTCGTATTAATGATAACTTACAGTTATTTAGCGAAATGATACATATAATTTTTTTGCTAGAACCAAGGAAATTGTGGTTTATGGAATTGAAAGGAGCGCATTGTTGAATTGTGTAAACAAACAATTACGCTATCTGTTTTCTTCTCTTCAGATGCGCCAGTTATTAATAAGTAATTATATTTAATAATGCTTCGCAAGAATTTTAATTGCGCGTTTCAATTGACTCCGCAATACCAGCAGAAAGTGCATCTATTGTGCTAAGAAGAAACTGAAACCATTTATTTATTAATACAAAACACGTAACGCGATTTCAGTGAATACACTTAAACTTTTTTAAATTATAATTGCATTTATGAGACTTTTATGTAATGAGTTTTCATCATTAAGTTAATACTTTTACTGGGAAGTGTTTTACAAAAAAAAAGTTAATTAAAGAATTATTTTTTTTGTGAAATTTTTAACTAGGGTTCATTTAAAATTGTTTATAAATGCAAATGTGGAGAGAAAATTGCAGATTAATTGGTATTCAAGTGAGGCAATGATTAAAACTTTCAAAACAATCAGAATGAATCACTTTTCTTGCATCCCAATTGAAATGAAAACAATATTGTTAATATTTATGTGATGTGCAGTCCAATTGGGGTTTGTATTGGATTCCTATTGGTCTGTAGCTAAAACTAGATGGTATTAAGTGAACTTACCCAAGGAAGGCTTGATCAGCTAGCTGCTTGACTCGAAAGAATTGCTTCTTCATTATTCATTCAAGTTTTCTCGATGAGGAAAACCCAAAGTCTGGTTCTGTGTAAATTTTCTCTCAGTGCTCAGCAGAACTGGGTTCTATTTGTTTGCATTAGATATAGATATGGTAATTGCAAATAATCTGATAGACTGTAATGGTGATGAGATCATTGAAACCAATGAACATATATATATATATGTATGTATATATATAAGTATGTATGTGTTTCACTTTTATGCATACAACATTGTTTTTAATACACTTCTAGATTATGCTATAATTCCTACACTTCTATGAGCAACAAACGCACGCACTGGCATGAATCACATTGACAGAATTAAACTATGTTCAAACATCAACAACAGATCACAGATCTCCTCCTGGAGTTCGTATATTTCTTCTTTTTTTCTTTCTCTTCTTCTTGTTGGTCTGCTTTTTGTTTCGCTCAAGCGACCAAACCTACAACAACGTTCATTGCGATATGAGCGAAAACTCTGTATTGAGACGTGTGTGCAAGAGGAGGAACGATTTCTGCTGAGCCGAGAAATGTCATGCATGTCATGGAGCGCAATGAAGTTGGCGCAGCACGAAAGGTGACATTTAAAAATAACCCCCACGGTTATTTTAAATCAATTCCTTTCTTTTTACGCATTCTTTCTGTGTTACCTTTTTGCTTCAACCCTGTCGCATTTCAACAATTGAATCTGCGAATGCCTGAAGAAAGCCGACAGTATACAATTGGATTTTAACCAAAACTATCCAATTGGAAGAATTGTTGTTAACAGCAATATTTCAGTTAACTATTGAATATTGTTATGAAACTAATATAATGTAATTTAGCAAACTAATTGTAATAGTTTTAAAAATTATTTTAAATTAATGTTAAGCTATGTTTTAACTACAGTTTAATAGATGGCGCTACATGACTATGAAATTTAACTCTCACAATTTCTGATACGAAGATGAAGGTTTAAATATCACTTAAATTATAAAAATTGTGGTGTCTATAAGTACCGAAGGTGTGAGCAAAATAAGCCTTAAATATAAATAAAACACTCTTGTAGTGGAAAGATGCATACGGTTGAAAGATTTAAGCTCTCAATGATCACTAATAACAAAAATAAAGAATTTTGTATTGAAAATGAACAATAAACAATAAATACAGCAAAATTTAACAAATTTAAATTTTAATAATATACAATTTTAAAATTAAAAACATAGAAATGTATAATTCTATTAATATTCAACTTTTAGATATTTGATGTTAAAAAATATATACAGTGGAACCTCGCTTAATTGTAAGCAAAATGACTCGTTTAACAAGCGACGCATAACGAGTACCGAGAAGTATGAAGTTTTGGACAAGTTTTGGATTGCGAGCCTGCTACATCATTTTTAAAACTTGTGTATTTTTGAATATGTTTCACTATACGAGCAAAAATTGGGAAATATTGGAACGGATTAAACTCGTTAAGCGAAGTCCCACTGTATTATATAAATGAAATAGCCAATTGAAACGTAATTAATGATTTAATGTTGTGATTGTTGCACTATTAATATTACTACTAATTGACGGAAAGACTGCGGTCTATAGCTCTTATCAAGGCAAAATGTATTTCAACTGAAACTCGTCTTGTATTTTATCTTCAAATATTGATTCATTTGTTATTTTATTTTATACTTTTTTCGTAATTAATTTAATTTTGTGGTTGTAATAAATCTTGATATTATTTTTAATTGACATATAGACTGCGGTCAATATATATGTATTTTTATGTCTACAATAAATATAATCTTTTATCATTAAATAAATATTATTAATAATGGAAAGAATCACAACCATGTAAGAAGAAAAAGTATCAAAGATGAAGATTTAAAACTAATAAAGAAGCGGTTTATAAATAAAAATATGAGAAAATAAATATAATTACATAATTCTTGTATTATCCCAATGTTAAATAAGTAAACAAAATACAGAAAATATATATTTATTGTAATTGTTTGCTATACTAGTTTCTTTTTTGCTACCCTTTTTGAATAGCTTAATAATCTGGACTAATTTACCCATATTTTCTTTCTTTTTTTGATGGTTAAACGAAATTATAAACAAATTAAAAAAACGTAAAAACTTGTTTTTGAAATTTGAATTAAATTTAATGGATTTCTCTGTCATTTCAACTGTCAATGTCATTTATTATTTATTTATTCATTCATTCTATACAAGGGTTTTGTAAACATATTAATATTTTTTAATAAATTTTCTATTTCTTTTATGTTACATTTTTTTATAGAATGCGGATTGGAATTATTTGTTAAAAGAAAGGATAAATCAGTTAAAATCAGTTAAAAGAGCGGATAAATCAGGGTCAGTGGCCGTTTGAATATATAATTTTTATATTATTAAAAAAAAACAAACACTCATATTTTGTTATTTTATTTGTAATAAATGAGAATGAGATGTCAAATTTTTCAATTTATTTAAACTAATCTATATTTGTGACGACAATTCTTGAATAATGTTTTACAGTTTGAATTGGTACATGATTCATTCAATGATTTAGCTAAGTATAAGACTATTTCTATAAAGCAATGCTATGTTTTTAGTTGTATATTATTTCATTGGGTGTGGGAGATTTTAAATTAAAATAAAACATTAAAAATTTCTAAAAGTAACTGACTTTGTTTTTTTTTCTTAATTGCAATTAAAAATACTAAATTGAAGGAATACATTTGGATTCAGGAATACATTTGGAGTGTTTATTGTTTTCTTTATTACTTTTTGATATTTTAAATTTATTTTTAAGTACAGTTCAAATTTAATTGAATAATTACATTTTCAATTATTTTCTTAAATGTTGATTGATTTGCAACATAAAACAAAGATAATTATATAAATAATTTATTTTTAATACGTATTATATTAAATTGTAAATTTAATAAAATCTATTAATTTGATCAAAAAAATATAATGAAGGAAATACGTGAGTTGTTTTTTGATTCATGTAGACTATTATTATTATTATTTAAACTCGTCAGAAAAGTCTAATTTTAAATTATAATGGTATTATTTTTAGATTGATGATTGGTCTTCTGGTGAAATAAATTTAAGCGTTTTAGGCGTGGTATTGTTTCCAATACAAATTCATGTCATTTTAAAAATAAAATGTGATTCATTAATCTATAATAAACTTTCTTCTATTATAGCTTTCTCAACAATCTTTTTAATAATAATAATATTGAATTCAGAATTGTTTCCTTAATCAATTAAAAAAATAAATATGTTTACTTTGCGAGTAAAAATTATTACATTTTTAATAAATTTGTGATTAAATTAAAATTGAAAAAAAAATCTATAACAACAATATAATTTAGCTATTGACAATATGTCTATCTGCCTTAATAATTTATTATTGTATTTTTTACTTTTACTTAATAAAACAATGATTGAGTTTGAAATAAAATATGATGAATTAATTATTTAATTTTACTAATTTGTAGATAATAAAGATTGTGATATATGTTTCTTCATTTCGTTAATAGATGGCGAAAGTTGTTTAGAATTGCATAATTTAAAATAAACTTGTTTGTAACTATAGAAAATTGAAATAATTCAAGTTTGTATCTTACTCTTTGGTGAAATAACAACAATAAATACCACTTTATGATGATCTACATTTTAGGACCAAAATATAATAAGAGGTGATATATTTAATGCCATGGTTATTTATATTTTGAAGGTTCTAAGATTGTTAATTTTTATTTTTTAAACTTTTAAATTAATGACCTGTGCTTCTGGACTTGTGATATATAAGGCAGCGTTTCTCAACCTATGGGTCGCGTTCACGTTACATTAAACGACAACTGTCACTTTTTGTCGAAGTAAGGAACTGGTAAAATATTCTTAGGAATTGATACGCAGTAAAATAAAACAACAAACAATTATTTTGTGTCGCGCGACATAAAGATTGAGAAACGCAGATATATGATACTTCTTTTTGTATTTGTATACTTTTGATTACACTTCTGTAATATCAGATTATAACGAAATCTATAAATCTTTTTACATATTTTAAAAGGAACAATCTTTATATAATAATTATTAAGTATTTACTGACAGTTTTTGTATTAAATCTATTACTATTGTGGATTTTTTTGCCTTGTATTTCTAAGATGCAAAATGGTTTGCAAATTATGTATATTTTTCACAAAAAATTATTAATAAGCTTATTTTTGGATTCTGTTATTTTCTTGATATTTTTATTTATTTCTTTGACAAATATATTGCAATAAAGTTGTTACTAAAAAATCAGACTAACTGTCTCAATAGTGAGACAAGTAACAAGTATCTAGATAAAGATAATTCATAAATCCAGTAAATTCAAGTTATCGATGTTATCAATAATATTAAATCTCTGAATAATCCTTGCAGCTTTCATAATAAATAGTATAAAATCAATAAATGTTTTGTCGCAAATTCTGTATTATTTCTCATTGATGAATATTTCAAGTACAGTGGAACCTCGCTTAACGAGTTTAATCCGTTCCAAAATTTCCGGATTTTTATTCGTATAGTGAAACATATTAATAAATACACATAATATGTGTACACAAGTTTTATAAATGATGTAGCAGGCGCGCAATCCGGGACTTCTCTTGTCATCGTCGCTCGTTATGCGAAACGTCACTCATTACGTGAGTCATTTTTCTTACAATTCATTTTGCCCGTTTTGCGAGGTGCTCGTTAAGCAAGGTTCTAATGTATAGCAATTTCTAAATTTTGTATTTCTATCTGTCCTCGAAATAGGCCAAAGAATTTGTAAGAATTAAAAGATTGCAAGACGCCTTCCTGATTAAGTGCCCATGGCATTTTATCAATACACCTTTGTGAACAACATTTGATTTAAATATCTATAAATAAGTTAACTGTCACATGGTAATACACTTGTTAATTAACTTAACAACGCAATGACAAAAGTGTACCTAACTGATAAGAACAATTATAATAAAACACAAAATGAGTAATTGCTTTAAAGGGAGGTCTTTCTGCCCTAGTAAATATTTATAGAATTTTTAAGTATTAGTTACTTTCTGTAAATTCTATGATAATGCAATAATTTATGGTATTATTATATTATTTCTATGAATCTATAACAATGTTATAATTAATATTAAGCAAATGCACGAATTTTTTTGTTTTCAATTTGTATATAATTAGAACACCTTGAAATATGTGAAATACCTATTAATTAATTTGAGTATTCATGCATTCCTCAATTTTGTCTATTCATTGTTGGCTCACTCAAGTATTATGCAAGTGCTATATTCACGTAATTAAAATATCGACAGTTTTTAATACCTCATAGGTTGTATGACGAACTTTTCTATATATAACCTTTCACGATGAGAAATGTTACCATATAGAATTGCATTACCTTTAAAACCCTTTCAAAATTACGCCAAGCCTTATCTAAGTAATGTCCGTATACAATAAATTTCAGTCAAACAACTACTTTAATAATAAAAATATATTTTT